AATGATGCCGTGATCAGAGAACAATGCTTTCAATGTACTTTTTTGTAGATTTAAATATTTTGATTGTGATTTGATTTTTGGTTCTTTGTTCAATCTTCATAATCCAGGAATTTGTATCGAGCTATGTTTGGTAGATTCAAAGATTTGATGTGAATTCAAGTTACAGTACCATCTATGGAATGCCGTTTGGAGAAGAGGTTTTCCGGTGCTACAACGTCTAAGCAATGTCTGAAGAGTAGAGCTAATGATGAGCGTGAGCTTGTCAAGTATATGTCAAAGCTACCAGTTTTCTTGGAGAGAGCTGAAACAACACCTCAGGAGAAGCTCTTGAGCGTTGGTGTTCTTGACTGGGGCCGCTTGGAGAAATGGAAGCATACTCATAACCGCCAGATTCCAGTGAAGACTAGATTCCCTTTGGTTTCTCAAACAGATACTTCGTTGGCTACGCTTAGAGATGAGTCGTCTGCTGGTCCAAGCAAAATGCATATCCGTAGCTCAAGGCAGCCTGATCCGATGTCAAATTCTGTTGAAGAAACTGTAAAAGAGTATCGAGAAATCAAAGGTACACGGAAAAAGAAACCCAAGGATCGTAGATGTTTCAGCATACCTGATGAGCAGCTTGGTCCAAACACGGACGCACAAGGATCAGATGGATATGAGAGTAAGGATCTGAAAGGGAATATTGGCCCAAAAGCTGGAACTTTGTCTAATGGATTGAATTCAGAGTCTGTCTTGAACATGGAGGTAGTAAGATCAAAGGCTGATGGAAATAGACGTAGGAAGAGTGAAAAGAAGTTGCGTGAAAGAAACCAAAATGATCATGATGAAGAACTTGGTCGAAAGCAGCAGGAGGAGTCCAAGCTCTATCACTCAACTAAGAAGCTAGCTCGAGAAGAGGCCAAGACATGCAAGAGGAGTTCGACTAAAAAAGTCAGGGTAATTCACGGCGTTGAAGTAGATTACTGTACTCAACATTCTTGCCCATTGCCATGTAAAGCTGATGGCTGCTTGGCAAAGAATAAAATTGGCTTCACTGATGCGGACCAAAACAAGGTTTCAGTTGAAATACCTCAGTGCGTTTCACTTTCAACAAAAGCAATCAACACATCTTCCAGACGTAAAATCACAGAAGACAGAGCATCAACTTTGTTAGCTGTGAAGCATTGTATGGTTGAGCCTGTCCAGAGACAAGATTCACAGTCGCATAACGCAGCATCTGAAAAGAAGAGAAGTACTTCGCCTTTTCAGCGGCTTAGCTTTAGTATGAGTAAGACCAGCAAAACTAATAGTGAAGGAGTTGTAGTTCCTGCGGCCCAGCTAGACTCAGTGGCTAACTCCACAAAGAACAGTTCACAAAACGTGGCTCTTTCATCTGGCGTTAACGGCTCAGATTGCAACAAACCCAGTGAAAAAGATACAACCACGACAAGCCATTTAAGAAGGTTGCTAGAACCTCTATTGAAGCCAAGAGCAACTCACTTTGGCAATTCTGTGGAGGGGACTAGAGGTCAACGCGTACAGAGAGTAAAATTGGGTATCACGGGTTGCAAAACTGTAAACGTCAATGATTCAGCTCACGAGAAGAAGCTAGGATCATCCATGGTTCGAGCTGTTCTTCGGGTAACAGTTAAGAACAATCAGCCACTCTTTACATTTGCAGTGAACAAGGAAACCGACATTATTGCGGCCACCCAAAAGAAAATGGGAAGCTCGGAAGAGGGTGAATGCACTAGTGTTTATACTTTCTTCTCTATTAAAAACCATAAGAGAAATAGTGTGTGGTTAAACGAAAGACGCAAAGGCCAAACACATGGTATCATCTCTAACGTTGTTGCTCAGATGCGGGTCTCGAGTTCTTTGCCATCTGGTTCCATTAGAGAGTTTGTTCTCTTCTCTGTAGAACTTGATCAAGAGAACACGGAAAAATCTGATCTGCAGTTGAAAAACGAGCTAGCTGCGATCATTGTGAAGATGCCAAGATGGTTTCACAGGAGAGCATCACTTAACACGGTTCAGGATAGTAATGCATTCAACAAAGAGGTCGAAGATCACGTCAAAGACAGGAATCTTGACCATGACATTAGTGCTACGGTCATACTTCAAAGCGGTGTTCATAGTATGCCTCAAAAAGGAGGGCCATCATCTTTGATCCAGCGATGGAGAACGGGTGGGTCTTGCGATTGTGGAGGTTGGGACATGGGCTGCAATCTAAGAATCCTTACAAATCAGCACAACTTCGCCTGCAAGAATTCGACAGCATCAAACTCACCACCTTCTTCAAACCGATTTGAGCTTTTCTTTCTGGTGCAGATTCTCTACTTAGTCCCAAGTCCAATCTCCTTTTTTTATTCCTGTTTCGCTCTCCCAAATCAAAACCAAAAGGTTTCATCAACACTTTTTCTACGTTTTTTTTCAGGGAGAACAGCCCGAGGAACATCCGTTCTTGAGCTTTAAACCGATCAAGGAAGGGATATATTCAGTTGTGTATAATCCATCCCTTTCACAACTACAAGCATTTTCCATATGTATGGCACTTGCAGAGAGTAGGAAAATGTCAGAGATCAGCCTTGAGCACAAAAGCTCTTGTGATGAACATAATGCTAGACCGGAAACCGTGTTAGTCCCGGACCAAGATCCAAAGCCTGATGGCAACATCGGGTATCAACTGCCCCTCTCGCCTGTCGGGCGGGTCTGAAGTTTATATTTTCTTACTTCAAACCCAAATTTTTTACTTACAGGTATTTGATCTTATTTTGTTAGTGTTAAGGTAAAACAGTTGCAGGAAATAAGAAAGCAGCAAGATCTCTATTAAAATAGTTAGTCTAATGGTGTATCCAGAAAGGAAATGATCTTACCAACTCTTTAAGTGTGA